TACCGCCGCTCCAGGAGGGGGGCACCCGGGGGGGGGCGGAGGAGGGGGGGGGCATGGTAATGGCACGCATGCGGGGGGAGGGGGAGGGAGTGGGCTGCCGCTGCTGCCCGGGGCCTTACCGCTTTCCTTGGTACTGGAGGTTGGAGGAGGTGGCGGACACGCTGGTGGTGGTGGTGGAGTTGGAGTCGGCGTCCGGCGGCTGGCGGTGAGTTTGGAACGATGAGTACGGAGTTATGAGTGGATCAGACCGGAGGGGATGAAGGGAGGGGGGAGGGGGTGGAGTCCTCAGCGAGGTCTTGGGTTTGTACGGATGCTCGTATCTAGGGTACGGAAGGGGATGGAGGGGAGGTGGAGGGGGGAAGGGCCATGGGGGGGGGGAAAGAGAAGTCCAATAATGGGGGTTGGCTGCCCTCACGTCATCTCCACCAACTTTGAGCCCCTCCAACCACACCTCCAGCTCACCAGCGCCTTAAAATTAGTTACTGCGCGGTACGGCCTGCGGTCCGGGGGTTTATTTCGTTAGTTTACATATTTATTTGTTTATTGTGCCACGCTTTGGTAAAGTGTCGCCCGGCTAACTCCCCCCCCCCTATATACACACACGCGCGCGCGTGCTACCCTCACTCCTCACCCGCACCTCACGGAGGTTGGGGATGTACGACAGTGTTGCATTTTCTTACCCGTACTCCTCCCCCGGAGTTGTGACCTGGTGACCGGTTTGTTCCCCTCCCCTTTCTCCCCGCAAGGGCCTTATGTTGGGTTCGGAGCCCGGAGTAGATGCCGCCTCTGCTCCTCTGTTTGGGGATCTGTGCGTGGTGGTGGCACAGGCCTTCACCGCACTGCAGGTGGGCGGCAGTGATGCCTGTCTGTCTGTCTGTTTGTCTGTTTGTTTGCGGGACTGGGATGTGGGGGCAGGACAATCGCCCCCCCCCGTTTTCCCTCTTTCCCTTCGTTACTGCCCCCGGGGGTTTCTCGCAGTGGGTTGTCCCCCCACCTCCCCGTACCTGCACCTTCCCTCCATACACACACACTGCAAGGGGAACATATATAACGTCGATGATCCTTTTTTGGGGGGAAAATAGGTAGTGCTGACTTTTTGGACAGTATCCTCTTTCCTCTCTTCTCACCCCATACAAACCCTACTTCGCTCCCCCCCCAAACCCCCCTGGTGTGTACGTATGTACGTATGTATGTATGTATGTCACTCTGTATGTGTGTATGCCAGTTCATTTTGGAGGAGAAGTTCGTGGCGCAGTACCGGGTGCCGACTTTGCTGGCTGTGGGGCTGGAGGGAATGTGGGGAACGGCCATATGTGCGGTGGTACTGCCCGTACTGGCGGTCGTACATACGGGAACCTACCACAGACCCATCGATTCGGCGGTGCAGGTAGGTGCTGCTGGTGTGTGTGTGTGTGTGTGCGTGGGGAAGAGAAGAGCAGGTGGGGCTGCTGTTGCAGGTGGGGTTGTTTAAGGGTTTTAGGCTTTTCGGGCTTTGCTACTTGTCTGTGACTGCAAACCTCGTGTATATTACACCCACACACATCTATATACACATGTTCTCTCCCC